CTCTGTTGCCCAGGCTGGAGTGCAATGGCACGATCTTGGCTCACTGCAACCTCCATCTCCCAGGTTCAAGCCACTCTCCTGCCTCAGCCTCCCAAGTAGCTGGGATTACAGGTGCATGCCACCATGACTGGCTAATTTTTTTTTTTTTTGAGATGGAGTCTCACACTGTTGCCCAGGCTGTAGTGCAGTGGCACAATCTCGGATCACTGCCATCTCTGCCTCCTGGGTTCAAGCAGTTCTCCTGCCTCAGCCTCCCAAGTAGCTGGGACTACAGGCATGCACCACCACGCCCAGCTAATTTTTTTGTGTTTTTAGTAGAGACAGTTTCACCATGTTGGCCAGGATGGTCTCAATCTCCTGACCTCATGATCTGCCTGCCTCGGCCTCCCAAAGTGTTGTGATTACAGGCGTGAGCCACCATGCCCAGCCTTAATTTTATTGTATTTTTAGTAGAGTTGGAGTTTTGCCATGTTGGCCAGGCTGGTCTCGAACTCCTGACCTCAGGCAATCCACCTGCCTTGGCCTCCCAAAGTGCTAGACTACCATGCCTGGCCCCCATCCTTATTTTCTTAGTCCTTTATCCCCAGGTTTTACCCCTTTAATCAGTCAGACAAACTCACCTCTTTTTTTTTAAACACAGGGTTTCACCACTTTGGTCAGGCTGGTCTTGAACTCCTGCCCTCAGGTGATCCGCCTGCCTTGGTCTCCAAAGTGCTTGGATTACAGGCATGAGCCACCCAAACTCACCTCTTAGCCCATGTACCCCTGCAACCTTTCCTTGGGCTCTTGAGGGTTTGTCAGGGTTGAGGGTTACCTCCTAGGCTTGGATCTGGCTTTGTGGGACCTCTGCTCCCTTCCCTCTACAGCTTCGTCTCAGTTCAGGATCTCAAGACTCACCAGCGCCTCCCATGCTGCAGCCACCTGTCCTGGAGCAGTAATGCATACCAGGCCTGGGTCCAAGAGGCTGGACCAAATGGGAACCCCCTCCCCCGAGAACAGCTGTTACTTTTAGGGACACTAACAGACCTATCAGGGGACTTGGAGCAAGAGTGCAGGAATGGAAGCCTCTATGTGAGAGATAACACTGGCATCCTGAGCTGTGAGGTAAGTGGAAGGTGGAGGGCAGATGCCTCAGATCCTCACAAGAATGGTGTCCAAGGGCCAAGGCAATTAAGTCTCTGATGAAACAAAAGGGGTGGTGGGTGGATGGTATGCTAGGATCCTGGTTAACCTTTGCTCTTCATCTTTTCTAGGTCATAGATCTGGACCTTTCTTGGTTGGGCCATCTTTTTCTGTTCCCTAGTTGGAGTTACCTCCCTCCTGCCAGGTGGAATTCCTCTGAGGAGGGGCATTTGGAGCTGTGGGATGCCCCTGTGCCAGTATTTCCTTTGACCATCAGTCCTGCTCCCCTCATGCCTATCCCTGTCCTCTACCCAGAGAGTGCTTCCCGCCTGCTCAGCCTCAGGTAATTTCCCCCTCTAGGCGTGACAGGAGCACTGTGAAATTGGAGGATGATGGTGGGTCAGTAGAGGGAGAGAAAGAAGGGCATTGATAGCAATATAGATGGAATGTTCCAAATCAAAGGAATGGTGGGCTTTGAATATTAAGAATGTAAAGAGGAGTTTCTCAAGGGATCTGTGCCTTATCTAACGTCAAGAGAATTTGGAGGTTTTTAGCATAATTGCTTTGGGCTATGAACATTTGGTATCACTACCAGGTTTTTCTTTACTGTGGAAGGGACAACATTTATAGGGAAAAAGAAGAGATACAAAGATGACTTTTTCTTCTTTCTTGTTTTTTGAGATGGAGTTATGCTCTTGTTGCCCAGGCTGGATTATATGGCACGATCTCAGCTCACTGCAACCTCCACCTTCCAGGGTCAAGTGATTCTTCTGCCTCAGCCTCCCAAGTAGCTGGGATTACAGGGCTTTTTCTTCCTTCTTAGAAACAAGCTTAGAGGTGTGCAGCGAAACCTGGCTGGGAATCTGGTTCAACTGAGTTCCCTGGTGAACAGTAAAGAGAAAGCTTACTTCATCCTGTCTCTTGGTAGTTCACACTCAGCTGTCACCCGCGTGTCCATCATTGTACAGGTGAGGATTAGGGTCATTTCAGCCATGGAAGTTCGGCAAGGGTGTTGGAACTTTCAATAGGAAAGATAACATCCTAGGAAGAACCACGTAGGAAAGGAGGACAGCTAGGGAGAGATGTTTTCTGGAACGGCGCTTTGGGAGAAGATTCCAGGAAATGTTTGTGCCTAGAGGTAGGGAACAGACTTTCCCGCTGTGCAGCTCACTTAAGCACACAGCTTTTAGATTGTATGTAACCTCTTAAAAAACTGCCACCCTCACTTTGTGTTTCCCCTGCATTAAGAAGATGACCAAACAAATCAGTCATCTTCATTGAATACAGACATTAAAAAAGAAAACAAACTTGGTACTTACTATTGACTCTTTTTGCATCTGGTACAATTTTATTTAATTTTTTAAATTTCAACTTTTATTTTAGATTCCTGGGGTACATGTGCAAGTTTATTAGCTGGGTATATTTTGTGATGCTGAGGTTTGGGGTATGACTGATCCCTTTACCCAGGTACTCAGCATAGTACCCAAGGTAAAAATTGTAAATCATTTATTTTTATTCTAACCATTGTTTCATGACATATAAGTATTGAATAATGTTTCTTTTTCTTTTCCTTTTTATAAAATTTTTAAAAATAGTCTGGGCGTGGTGGCTTATGCTTGTAATCCCAGCACTTTGGGAGGCCAAGGTGGGTGAACTCCGGAGGTCAGGAGTTCAAGACCAGCGTGGCCAAGATGGTGAAACCCTATCTCTATGAAAAATACAAAAAAAACAGCTGGGCCGGGCGCGGTGGCTCATGCCTGTAATCCCAGCACTTTGGGAGGCCGAGGCGGGTGGATCACGAGGTCAAGAGATCAAGACCATCCTGGTCAACATGGTGAAACCCCATCTCTACTAAAACTACAAAAAATTAGCTGGGCATGGTGGCGCGTGCCTGTAATCCCAGCTACTCAGGATGCTGAGGCAGGAGAATTGCCTGTACCCAGGAGGCGGAGGTTGCGGTG